GGACAGAGTACTCCAGATGGGGCCTCACCAGGGCAGTGTAGAGGGGAAGGAGAACCTCCCTCGTCCTGCTGGCCACACTCTTCTTGATGCACCCCAGGATCCCATTGGCTTTCTTGGCAGCCAGGGCACACTGCTGGCTCATGGTTAACCTGTCGTCCACCAGGACACCCAGGTCCCTCTCCGCAGAGCTGCTCTCCAGCAGGCCCACCCCAAGCCTGTACTGGTGCATGAGGTTGTTCCTCCCCAGGTGCAGGACCCTGCACTTGCCCTTGTTGAACATCATCAGGTTCCTCTCTGCCCAGCTCTCCAGCCTATCCAGGTCACGCTGAATGGCAGCACAGCCTGCTGGTGTATCTACCACACCTCCCAGTTTGGTGTCGTCAGCAAACTTGCTGAGGGTACATTCTAACTCTTCATCCAGGTCGTTGATGAAGAAGTTAAACAAGACTGGGCCCAGTACTGACCCCTGAGGGACACCACTTGTCACCAGCCTCCAACTAGACTCAGCGCCGCTGATGACAACCCTCTGAGTTCTGCCATTCAGCCAGTTCTCAATCCACTTCACCGACCACTCATCCAGCCCACACTTCCTCAGCTTCCCCAGGAGGATATCATGGGAGACTGTGTCGAAAAATGCGAAGTTAATGCGAAGTATTCTGAAAGGACTAAAAAGTAGGATTAGAATCCAAGAAGAAAAAGCCCTATTAGTGTGGGGAGACATCAGTGAATTACTAAATGTCATTTAGGTTAAAGATACAAGTAGAATCACAGAATCATAGAACCAGAATCTTAGAACAGTGTGGGCTAGAAGGGACCTTTAAAGATTATCCAGTTCAACCCCCTTGCCATCTTCAACTAGATCAGGTTGTTCAGGGCCTGGCCTTGAATGTTGCCAGGGATGGGGCATCTACTGCCTCTCTGGGAAACCTGTTCCAGTGTTTCACCACCCTCATCATAAAAAATGCCTTCTTTATATCCAGTCTAAATCTGCTGTCTTTTAGTTTAAAATCATTACCCCTTGTTCTATCGCAACAGGCCCTGATAAAAAGTCTGTCCCATCTATCTTATAAGCTTCCTTAGGTACTGAAAGGCCACAAGAAGGTCTCTCCCAAGCCTCCTCTTCTCCAGGTTGAACAGTCCCAACTCTCTCAGCCTTTCCACATAGCAGAGGTTCTCCATCCCTCGGATCATTTCTGTGGCCCTCCTGTGGACCCACTCCAACAGGTCCATGTCTTTCCTGTGCTGAGGGCTCCACCAGAGCTGGACACAGGACTCCAGGTGTGAGCACACATTGCTGGGTCATGTTGACCTCATGTCCACAAGTAAATGTGATAAATGAAGAGAACATGTTGATGACGAAGAAGTAATGAAAAACATTTTTCCAACTTGTGCAGTCCAATAAAGGTTTCTTGAAGAGATAACCATGTGGTAAATATTTATTAAAATTTAAATACTTTTAATGAGATTTTTAAAAATTGAAGTACCCTCTCTGCGTGAATTTTTTAAAGCTTATATATAATATATGAATTTTCTTTCACTCTCCAGTGAGTTCTGACTGGCCAAAGGAATCATCTCCCATTTTACTTATACATGTCTACTGTTAATATGTTTAATATTTTGAAGAAATTCTTCATGAACACAATTTAAAAGAAACCTTTCACTTTAACCTGAATCAAAATACTTAATTTCAAACTGAAAATAGTTGCTGCTGTATATATAACTTTATTTTGTTTCAGAATTTTTGAGGAAGACTATGTTTCATAGACTTGTCATCACCATTTCCAGTCCCTCCTTGTTTGTTAACACGAGGTCCAGCAGCGTGCCTTTCCTTGTTGGTTCCTCCACCACTTGCATCAGAAAGTTAATTGCGAGAGAGTTAATTCAAAGCGAGAGTATGTAATATTAAGCTATATGTTGACTGCATGAAGTGAATGACAGTGGAATGACAGAATTGTCATTTTAGACTTGGAAACAGAAAGAAAGACTGCTCAAAGGTCCCTGCAAGGACCACAGCTCCTTGACAGTCATTTGGAAACAACAGAGTACGGAGAGGAATCCATCTCAGCACTACCAATAGAGTCGTCTCAGGTAAGCAAAGGGGTGTTGAGGAAAACTGTTAAAGGCTGTCATCAGAACTGAGCTCTAATAAAATAAAGATGTGAACATTAGTGATCATACTCATATAAACTCTCAGAAATTAATGCCTTTGTCTGTATTATATAGTACTAATTTAAATTCACTGATAATAACACACTTGGAATAGGAATGCCCAAAGCAGTACCCGGTTATAAGTAGGGACAAAACCAGGAAAAGCAAATTAACAATGCCTGCATTCCTACTATTTCTCTTCTAATACATTACTGAATCTGCAATTATCAAATAGTTATTGCAATAGTTTGGCAAGTTGATATTTAAAACTTAATATTCAGTAATACTGTCATGGAAGTAAACAGAAAGACATTGGTTTTTTTTTTTATTGGAAGAAGCTATGGGTCTTTAATGCAGGTAATGGAGGAATCAAGTGTAGTAGATATTCCTTAAAGCAATGCAGTTCAGTGCAGTTTGTCTCAAATAACATCTTTACCTAACTTTGCTACTCTTTTTACTAAGGCTGAAGAATTACCTTTATTTCAGTTTGCTAGTTCTTCTGCAGTGACTAGCCGGAAAAGCTTAGCAAGCACGCAGGTGGCAAGGATCCAGCGGGAAACAGATTTCCTCAAGTAAGTGACTTCTCCTTTTAATGTATTTGGCTGTGGAAGGTAACTGAGCAATTGCCTTTTGCAACAAAACTGAAAGTACTGTGGGTCTTTATAAAAACGAGGACAACAAAGAGAGACACTGCCTCATAACTGGAGAATGTGATCTAGGTAGGGCTTTGAAAATTCTTTCTCTTACACAGTTTTATTTACATGTCACCATACACAGTTATCAACTATCTTATCATCCTTTAAAAAAAAATTCCTAACACCTGTAAGATCAGAGCAAAAGCTGTGTTTTCAAATCAGAGTGCAGCCCTCACTGCTGTAGGTGAAAACTGCTCACTGGGGTAGTCTCACATAGTGTTAGTCCTTATCAGTGTTGAAAGGCTTATGTGATCTACATCAGTGGCTCCCCATGTCGCAGCAGTGAGGCGTGATACAGATTGTGTGTCAGGAGACTTGTTTACCTCACATGATGAGGAGGAAAGTATGAAACTCCATAGCAGCCAGACAGAACCTCCTATCATGGAGGTTGGGGCATGGTGTGGTGGACCACCATAGCTTGGAAACCACAACTGAGAAATCAGTGGCCTAAGTCTTGTCACAACAGGTTCCAGATTAATCATTATTATGCAGCAGTACAATACCAAAACAAGCTCAGCCAGTTTGCTCTTATTTTCAGATGTGCATACTGTTCTGCTCCTCGCCTATCTGACCCCTTGGCTCACTTCTGTCAGGAATGTGGATCTCCTATCCCACCTGTGCCAGTACATCGCTTCCCACCCCCTGAAGGAGCACAGGTCAGCAAAATATCGTAACAATCAACAAATCCTCTTTGGAAAAACCAACTTCCTCATCAAATTACACATCCAGTGCTGGCAAAACCATTAGTCACACTTTCATTTGGGAAGCTGTGTTCTGATTGGGTTTTTTTGTTCAATACCTTTAGCAGTGGACCCAATGTAGTTCTTAAATAATGAGCAAAATTAACCATAGATTTCTTCAAGTGCCTTGTATTTTAATAAGGATAACAACGAAAAAGTAAATTGTGTTTTATTTGCTTGTGCAAACATCACCACATTCAGATTCCTCCTCACCCTGTAACAACAACCACTGCAAGTTCAGGACTTGCATATGCATCTTATTCCAGTGCTAACTAGTGCAGTTAGTTAGTAACTAGTGCTTATGTCATAGCTGTAGAACATCCATCTAATATGCCTGAAACCTTAAACAGTGGCATGTGTGGGCATATGTAAGAGCACCAAGTTTTGACAGTGGTGCCTGTAACTATCTTCTCTAAGCTCTTCCCAAGAGATAATAAACTGATCTAACAAGTCAATGGAGGATTTTATTTTTCCTGTATCATCAAAAAGTTATCCTGTCTGGGGCAATGCTGTAGTTTCAAGTGATGACTGAGAATATTGAGCAAATCTTTGTATTAGGTTCATAATTAGGAGGATTTGAGCTGCCTGCACACATTTTATAGTAGCATTTTAAATTTATTGAAAATTAACTTAGTACCTTTCTGGCATGTTTTTAGTAGTCAGTAAAGCATTCTCTTTCCAGTTGTCATCATATTTTCTCAATAGCCTTTGATATTTAAGGATCAATATCAGCATCTGTTGCTGTCAGCTGCTGTGTTTCCAGTGACTTTGCTGCTGATGTAGACTCTAACTAGGAAAATACTGAAAATCTCATGGTAACCTTAATGATCTCATTATGGTTCTTAACATGCTGTGATGTGTCTTTTTCTTCAGATGGCACCATGTCTTGAATGCAAACATCTTGTGCCAATGAATACACCCACTTGCATTGTATGTGAGTCGCCAATAGCTCCACAGCTGCAGCCCCAAGCCAATAACTGCGTAAAGGTACTTGAGAATAAATATAACAATATAGCAATTTACCTCCTGGCATACATTTTTCTAACAGATTGCTTCATTTCAAATGTTTTGATCCAATATGGGTTTGTGTAATTAAATTGTGACAGCTTTAAGGGTTAGTAGGATTAAAAACACCTTGAGTAGAAATAATCATTATAGGTAAACCACATAAGCCCAGGAAGGCATGATGAAGAGCACATGACGTAGCAGTCTGAATGACAGGAATGCATGCACTTGTGTTCAGTAGAGAGATATGCTACAATCCTGTGATTTATGGCTTTAGTATTATGAAGTATTTTAAGTTTATTGAATATGTCCTCATTACTCTGCTTACCTAATTTCATCGTAAGTGCTCAGCACAGATGGGCTGGCAGGACTGGGGCAGTGGGTATGTGGCCAAAACATTAGAGTGTAGTCTTGATCAGTGATCCAAAAATGCTGGTGGTCTTAACTAGACAAAATGTTTTACCCTATAAAGTACTCCATAAGGGTGTGAGGAGGAGAGGACTGATACTGCCTGCCCACAATGGGTTGCTGAGCTGGTGTCAGCAACAAGATTTTGGTTTCCATGATAGTGGGACCCTGTCTGAAGATCAACAGCTCCTTAGGAGAATTGGGATCCACCTCACAGGACAAAGATATCTTTGCCAACGGGAAAGCTGGGCTAGTAAGAAGGGTTTTAAATGAGAAACAACAGGGGAGGGAGTGATGGACAGGGCTGAGAAGCAAAGGGTCTTGGGTGATGTGGACAAAAGGGAACACTTAATCAATGAAACAGGGCTTAAGTGAGGTCACCTGAAGCATTTGCAAGGAAGTACTTATAAGGCAGCATGATGGGGAACCCCCCCAGACCCTTTCTGTGAAATCAGCATGCTGGGGTGCCTCTCTGAAGTGCCTGTACACTAGCGCAAGCAGTATGGGGAATAAACTCAAGGAATTAGAGTTCTGTGTGCAGTGGCAGGGCTATGATCTTGATGGGACCACAGAGACACAGAGCAATGACTTGCATGACTGTACGGGTGACATCGTAGTGGGGGTCTGCTGTACACCACCTGACCAGGAAGAAGCAGTGGAAGAGGCCTTCTACAAACAGCTAGAAGTAGGCCCACATTTGCAGGTCCTGGTCCTCATGGGGGACTTCAACTACCCCAATATCTGCTGGAGGAACAACACAGCAAGGCATAAGCAATCCAGAGGTTCCTGGAAAGAACTGATGACAACTGCTTGATACAAGTGATAGAGCAGCCAGCGAGGAATGGTGCTTTGCTGGGTCTCATACTTACAGGGAAGGAAGGGCTTCTTGGGAATATGAAGGTCAAAGACATCCTTGGCTGCAATAACCACAAGATGGTGGTGTTCAGGATCCTGAGAGGAAGGAGCAGAGGCAAAAAGTAAAATCACAGCCCTGGATTTTAGAATAGCAGACTTTGGCCTCTTCAGGGGTCTGCTTGAAAAAGTCTAATGATATCCTGGGCTGCATTTAGGAAGTCTGGTGCCAGCAGGTAAAGGGAGGTGATTCTTCCCCTTTACTCAGCACTAGTGAGGCTGTGTCTGGAGTAAAGTCTCCAGTTCTGAGCTCCCCAGTACAAGAGGGGCATGGACATACTAGAGAAAGCCCAACAAAGAGCCACTAAGATGATTAAGGAACTGGAACACCTGGAGGAAAGACGTAGCAAGCTGGGACTGCTTAGTCTAGGGAAGAGAAACTTGGGGGAATCTCATAAATAAGGGAAGATGCAAAGAAAACAGAACCAAGCTCTTTCTGGTGGTGCCCAGTGACAGGACCAGAGGCAATCAGCACAGACTGAAGCACAGGAGGTTCCCTCTGAACATCAGGAAACTCTTACTGTGAGAGTGACTGAGCACTGGCATAGTTTGCCTAGAGACGTTGTGGAGTCTCCATCCTTGGAGACATTCAGAAGCCATCTGGTCATGGCCCTGGGAAACCTGCTCTGGGTGGCGCTGCTTGAACAGGGCGGGGTTGGACCTCCAGAGGCCCCTTCAAACCTCAACCATTCTGTGAGTCTGTGATAATTGCAAGGGAATATTTCTGGAAAGAGAAGGATGCTGAAAGGAAACTGTTGACTGAAGACTATGAGATAACAAAGGAGATTCATAATCTGAGGCAGTTATCAGCTTGATGTCAAAGCAGATTATAGACATTGGCCCAAATCTAATGCTTTAAGACAACCTTTATGTAGGTGCAAAGACAAACCTAAACTAATCAGTGCCAACAGTCAAAATATCAGACTCTTTATTCCTAGATGTGGTGGAAACTTGCTTGTTGATAGTGAGCGTGCTAAGATCTTTTAGGGCACCCTCATGGCATACTATTATTATTATTTCTATTATTAATATAATAACAATAACGATAGCAACAATAATAATAATTTTCCGTGGAGATACTGGACTACCTGTTTTGTGTGAGTGCAGTGACTAAGCAAACTGACACTAATATATACAAAGATCTGGAGTTATTGATGCTGGATCTCCTGAGGAAACTGTACCATATTTTAAAAAAACTTGTCACCAGGATACATAGATTTGCGATGACCAGGCAATATGGCCTAACTAAAGTCTGAATCTCACAGCACAGACTTGAAGGATCTCTTCTACCTGCAGGACTGAATAACGACAGCACTTTGTAAGATCAAGTCCTCTTATTATTGTTGTTCAGTTTTCAAATACTATGCAAAATTTATTCTTTCTCTGTTTAAAAGGGCAAAGTAATTTGTCAGGCATGTGGCACAGGAAATCCTCTTCACCATAAACACTGTGTGACTTGTGAAAGCAGACTGCCTGAAATGCAGACGGTAAGATTTCTTGCAGCAATCACACTAGGGTTAATCAAATCAAAGCATAACATTCTTTTTCTTCGGAAAACTGAAGTCATAGCCCTGTGTCCCTGTGTTGCAAAAGCAGAGATTCCCTCCTCTGTGCCATATTCAAGCCCATTACTCCCACAGATTCTCCATCACAAATGCCCAGCTGAACATAAGCATATTGTATACCTTCAGGTTTCTCCTCTGGAAGTCAGGATTGCAAATGCCATTGTGAAAGCTCAGAAGGCTCTTAGAAAACAAGTAGTCTTGACTCCAAGGGAGTCTCATTTGTGTTTAGATTATTTTCAACTGCAATAGAAAACTTGAGTATATACATCAGGAAGATCATTCTCATTGATTTCAATTATTTTCTGAAAATAAAATATTCTTTTACATTATTTTTATCTCCATTTGCTGCTTCCCCTACGCGCATGTAGCTACTGTGCTTGTGTTTGGCTGTGACTCTGCACAGAGGTGAGAAAAGCAACAATAAATGTTCCGCCTAATATTGCTATCTGTTTCAACTCCCCATTTAGCTTGCTTATTTGGTTCCTTAGAAGAATTTTATTTTCACTTCTGAAGAGAAAAGTCTTGTATGAAAAACTTATGGTACATTTCACTTCTCCAGGTTGTGATAAATACAGAAATGAGAGGAGAATAATGATTTATGAAATAAAATCTTCTGATTATAATGGCAACATCCTCAGTTCTAAAACTGTCAGTAGGCAAATGTATCTTGTATAGCCACTGAGGTGTCATTTCGAAGTTAATTTCAGTAGGAATCTGTACTTACCAAAGATAAACATAGGTTTAGGTGCTTCACTGAATGTAGATATTAATATATGTATAGCTGCATACGTAGTTAGGCATATGACATGAATGGTAAGACCTGTAGTAGTGAAGAGAGAAGGTGAAATGCTTACTAAGAATTATTAATAGTAATCAGAAATTTTACTAATAATAGTGATTAATTAGTGATAACCAATAGTACTTACTGAATAATTAATAGTTAGTGATAATGCTGGTATTACTACTAATGGCTATTAAATAATTTAGATTTAGAACATATTTGGACTTGTCCTCTTGTAAATTTTATCTTCCAAATGAACCCACAAATTAAATCGTTCAAGTTGCAATGCAGGCCACAGTTGAAAATAGGGCTATTTCATGTTTTCTTACTTGCTGTTGTGTTTGTGTAATCAAAACAATTTTCCTTGGGTTCAGTTCCTTATCCATATTCCTGACTTGTAGAGAAAATAAACTGTGTAAGCCCTGAGGCAAAGCCATTTGAAGACGTATTTGTCCCAACTAGGATCTATAATCAACCTCTAGAAGTTTCAGCTGAAAAATCTGGGTTTTTTTGCATACCCCTACAAGTTAATTGTAGTAGGAAAGCTAGATAATCTATAACTGGTATGAGGTAAAAGAGTGCAAAACAATAATTTATGTAGTAAATACCAAACTGAGAGAAAACTCATTGTCTGAACACACTCTCCCTGCTGTACTACTACAAAGAAAGGTACAAAGAAAAATAGCTGTTGTGTTCTGGATTTCAAAATGTAAGTTTATCAGCAGAGAAACCTCCCTCTTAACTTTGAGTTTACTTGTACATGGGGCCTTATTACTAAATACTGGGTGTGAAAGGACACGACTGATAACGAAATATTTTTATGCGCTCAGTTCTGCTAAAAATCTTTTTATATTAATTAATGCAACATTTTACTGTGGTTTTGTAATGAAAAAAAATTACAGGTTAGGTCCTAGTCACTCTTTTACTATTCTAAGTTGAAATAATTCTTTTAGGCTGAATATTACTTTATGTTATCAAAGTAACTTGCTTGCCTATTTCACCTTACTTAGCTTGTGAACGTTTCTTCATAAGAAGTGTTTTCTCCCTAATGCTTTTTTTGTTTTATTAGCCCATGTTTGGAGAAGACACCCCCCAGCCTTATGCCAGCCAGCAAAGGAAGACAGTTTTGTGCTCAAAATGCAATCATGTTAACCAATGTGATGCCCGTTTCTGTGACTGGTGTGGAGCCAAGGCACGTGTTTGTGTTGACAAATCTGTTTTTACTCACCTGTGACCTGCAGCAATTTCAAACATACCTTTTCAAAACTCTTGTCACTTACTACATAGCTTATTATTATCAAAATGACTGCTTAGAGCACATAAGATTATATAAAGAAAAATTAAAAGCTTAGATGACATCCTGACCCAATGTCAGTTGTGACTTAAGGGTTTAGTGATGTAAACAAATTACCATGGGTCAGTGAGCATCAGCTCATTGCATCAGTGGAGGTGCAATAGCTGTATATTTTGCCAAAGTAACTTCTCCATCAAAAGTTAAAGAATAGGCTAACCTAATGCACCTTTTTCCATATCTACTCTGTGCTATGATCACCTATACAGGTAATCACCAGAGATGAGATGATGCATGCAATTTTTTTTTTTGCTGAGGGCCTTATTAACTTCACCGAAGACAAGTACTTTCTCTTAACTGATGCTCAGTAGAACTTTTGCATGGTACAAGCAATATAAACAATTTCCTCTGGCATGTGTTTTTATAAGTATAGTGTTTCAAGCTAAGATCACACTTGGGGAGAATTTTTTTTTTCTGTGAGCTGAGTCTACATAAAATTTTAAACACTCCCCTATATGCATACATAGCCATTGGTCCTGTACTGTACCAGTGGACTCGGGGTGGTGGGAGTAGTGTTAGAACTGAACAGGAAAGAATTGCAGTCAATATTCAGTATCAAAGCACACACTAGTAATGACAGGGCTTATTGAAAGAAAATAAATATTTTTGAAAGCGTATGTTAAAAAAATAACTTACCAAAATGCTAGATCTGTCTGAAAAAATGTTTGCCTCCATAGCACAGTGCTGAGATAGCTGAAGATTTACTGTCTTGCATCTGCCAGTGTGTTAGCAGTCTGGTATCCTGGTTAATATTTCTAATCTAATAGTTTTAGATAGTGCTACTTCATTTTAATTCATGTCACTGCTTGTATCTTTCCGGAACCATGCATCATGTGCTTCTGTAGTGACAAGTTTTTCATTCAACTTTTCAGCCTGGACCTCCTCCATCCTACTTTACTTGTTTCAAGTGTGGTACAAGCAACCGTCCATACGCTCGCTTCTGTGGGTCCTGCGGTGTTTACATAGAGCACCCGTCAGCAGTAGGTTCTCCGCACGGCAGTCTCATGGATGCTGGGGACTCACTGGGGCTTTCTGAGGTAAGACACACAGTATTACAAAGCTGGGCTTGAACACAGCTAAGAGGCTATTCCACCGTGGGTGCAGATCAGCACAATTCCATTAATTTCCTCTTTGAGACAATGCTGTGGTCTGCGAGCATGCTGAGGGCAAAACCAACGATATGTTTATTCTGAGAACCGCTTTTGGCTGAAAAGTAGTCTTGGCTGAAGGCCTTAATCAGCCTTATTCTAAACAGGAAAGTGAGAAACAATCAGCTTTTCAGAAGTCTTAGCTCTTTAAGTGCTTTTATCTTATTACTTGTGTTTTGTGTCCTGCTGATACAAGGTATTCTTTCATGCATATGTAACAGTGCTTTGGAAAAACTGTTTTAAGAAAGACCATCAAACTGAGCAAGGCCAGCTTTTGTCCTACAAAAGCATACATGTTCTGCTGGCAATCGTGAAGAGTTTTGCTTTTGCTTGAATATTTGTGATAAGTTGCTTCCTTGTTACAGACTGGTAATTAAAATCAATAATTGTTAATAATTCTTCCCCCTAGCTTTTTCATTCCTTTACAGTTTTGTATACTGTTCTGGTTAATTTCTGCTTGTAACCCATTTAATTATATCTAATTATATTACTTACACTTTTCCTTCCCCTCCACTCCCCCCAGGCTAAACGATTTCAAGCTCAAGTTGCCTGGCAGCCTTTTGCTATTTCCTTAGACAAACCAGGGGCAGAACTAAATGAAAGAGAAGATAAAGGAACCCAAACTATTGGACTTTTTTACCCATCTAGCAAACTGTTGGAAAAGAAGGAGCTTGAGCTGATTTCACAAAAAGAAAAGCTGGAAAAGATGAGTGATCATAAACCTCTCCTGACAGCCATTAGTCCTGGAAAAGGTTAGGAGTTTTGATTTTATGTTTTCTAAACAAAGCTGCAATGTATGACCTTGCTTTTTCTTGAAAAGATTATAGTCCATGGAACATGGCATCAGTAGGACACTGATTTACATCTTTTCAAGTCTGTCTTCCCACCAGTCACTTGTAAATGCGGTGCTTTAGAATTCAATCGCTGTTCTCCATCAATAGCTAAAAGAAAGCCTATCAGCAATATCAAAATCATGGTTACTGACCCCTGTGCAACCTTACTAATTTGCTAGTGGTTTGATTTCCTCAGATCGTACAAGATGAGGACAGGTGTCCTATATTTGAATTAAAAACCACTGAACAACCACCCCACCTCCCAGCACCCTCTCCACCCCTCACAATGTGAAGTTCAGTTAGAACTGCAGTAGCACCTGCTAGGAGCCACTCAGACACAGAGGATCGCAGCTCTTGAAAAATATGATGAGGCTTGTCCACGTGAAGAACTTGTTTGGGGTGCTGTTGTGGAATAAATTATACAAGTTTTGGAAGCAAAGGAAAACAGAGTAGAGAAAGGGATTCTTAACAGGATTACAAAACATAAGGTTGGTAGAAACCTTGAAAGCTCTTTTAGGCCTCATCTTCCAGCCCCGCAAAGCTGTCAGTACATCTGCATTGCTCATTGCAGAGACTGTCCATGCACAGACTGCTGTATCAGTACAGCAGATTACTTTGTTTCACAGTCCCTGGTTTAGTCAGTTAGTTGCGTGTGGAATCCCTTGACTGTTTACTGTCATTAAAAAGTTTGCAATTTTTAGAGATTTTAGTTTTACTGTCCTGGGAGAACTCAGTTTTCTGGATCCCAAACCCTTGAAGGCAGTCTGTCAGTATTATTTAGGGACCTAATAAATGGCCCAGTTTGCAAAATTATCTTTAATCTCGCTGTGCAGTCCAGAGAATAACTTAATTGTAAATCACAACAGCATCAAACCATGGTTTGGAGGAGCAGTCACTTTTTTTGATCTATTTTCCCATCTCTAGCTCTTTTCTACAATCAGAGGGCCAACCCCTCAGGCCGTCATCAGAACTACTTATCTATTAGGTAGAAAAAGTTGCTAATGAATGTTAGAAATTCCTCTCTTGACTGTGTATAAATATCCAGATGATGCACTTTTATTTTTAAAGTATCACTAGGGAAATCTGTTTTCCTGCTCCCTTGCTCTGAAATGTGGCATGTTCTCTTATACATCACTATAGGAAATACAACACTTGACTTAACATGTCAGGGAGCTTAATTTAATCAGAGATAATAAAGGTTTGGCCCACAATAGTGCTGAGACCAAAAAAAAAAAAGTAACACTGAGCATTCATATATCGCTATCAGAAGAACAGCTCTTGACTTGTGAGAGAGAACTCTCTTCTCTGGGAAAGGTTGAGAAGAAATTCTGAACTGTGTTTGAACTATGTTAATTTTTATCTGTTTAGCAGAGGTAACTTTGTTGAAGTTGTACTGTGTAATGTATTCTCCATTAGACCCTGCCAAGGTCTGAGGAACATATTTCATTCTATAAATCAATAAATGTCAGTTACACTAAAGTCTTTCATGCTGCTCCCTTTCCTTGATGCTGGCTTGAAACTACATGTATCAACAAGACTATACGCTAGCACCCAGGAAAATCATGTTTATATATATGCCAAATATGTCCATTATTTCTTCAATTCAAATAGTACTAGACATTTGATATTAAAGTTTTTAAATACAAGTGATTAAATAAGTTAGTTTGTGTATTTATTTATTGACCATATGAGCCATTAACTGACCTTTTCTTTTGTGAAGATATTAAAAAAACAAACGGTTAGGACGGGGAAATAACAGCAGTACCAGAACACAAATCCTCTGATGTGTACTGTATTTCTCTTTTTTGCTGTACTTTCAGTCTGTTTTGAACAGGACCCAAACAATTTACCAGGTAAACTTTACAAAGAAGCCTCCCCTTTCCTACTGTAACAAACAGTAATCAGTGTGATATAGGTGTAATCAGCTATTGACAGCATGAATTCAAGTAGTCCATCAGCCCTGCCAAAAACCCTTTTAGATGTAGTAAAATGCCAAACATGCAAGAATATGTTCCTGGCCATCTGGATTTTTTGAAATAAAATCTGGAGATCTAGGCTGGTTATGAACCAGTTTATTGCAAATAATAATGACTTATCTGGAGAGATCACTCACGAAGTGGTAGTCTAGCTCAGCTTTTTTAATTAGTGTTTTCAACTTCTATTAGTTTTTGCATGTGAGACCGTGGCAGGGAACAATTTATGTTGCTCTGTGCATCTTTCTTTTTGTATTCCTTTAAAGCAGCCTAACTAAGACTTGCTGGTTTAGTTTGTCGTAGTTTCTACTAGTTCAGTCCTGGAAGAGTTCTCCAAGCACAAAAATCCTTGCGCACTTGCCTTCTCTTGTACAAGTCAGCACACAGCACTTATCTTCCAACTCGGCTTCTTCTCCCTGTTTCAAGCTTCACTTAATATGAAGGGAAGGATAAGGTCAGAGCAATTTCATTGTGTAAGTTAAACGAGGTTACCAAGCCTACACAATTTATTTACAACAAAATAAATCATACTCTGTACTTTCCATAAGCATGTTCAAAAATAAAATTAGCTTGAACCTGATAACAATCACTTAAGAATGAGAGCAAGTCCTTATGTTTCTTTCTCTGATGAAAACAGAATATTGCTTCGGAATTACTTGGACAGGAGCTGCAAAAACTCTTAAGTGGCTTAAGATGAGCTTCAAATCCAGGTGGATTCAGCCCCTAATGTTTCACGCCCTGTACTAGCACAAAGCAATACTGAC